AGTCTGTTTTTGAAGTTTTTTTGTTGCAAAATTGCCACCTTCAGGTCTGTCACTGAGTGGTTAGAGAGATTCAAGTGTTTTCCCACTGGTTTTTTAATGTTATGATTCCTGATGTCAGATTTGTGTCCATTTATTCTTTTGCGTAGAGACTGTCCGGTTTGGCCAATGTACATGGCAGAGGGGCATTGCTGGCACATGATGGCATATATCATGTTGGTAGATGTGCAGGTGAATGAGCTCCTGATGGCGTGGCTGATGTGATTAGGTCCTATGATGGTGTCACTTGAACAGATATGTGGACAGAATTGGCATCGGGCTTTGTTGCAAGGATAGGTTCCTGGGTTAGTGTTTATGTTGTGTGGTGTGCGGTTGCTGGTGAGTATTTGCTTCAGGTTTGGGGGCTGTCTGTAAGCAAGGACTGGTCTGTCTCCCAAGATCTGTGAGAGTGAGGGATCATCTTTCAGGATAGGTTGATCTTTGATTATGCTCTGGAGAGATTTTAGTTGGGGACTGAAGGTGACGGCTAGAGGCGTTCTGCTATTTTCTTTGGGCCTGTCCTGTAGTAGGTGACTTCTGGGTACTCTTCTGGCTCTGTCAGTCTGTTTTTTTCACTTCAGCAGGTGGGTCTTGTAGTTTTAAGAATGCTTGATAGAGATTTTGTAGGTGCTTGTCTCTGTCTGAGGGATTGGAGCAAATGCGGTTGTATCTTAGAGCTTGGCTGTAGACAATGGATCGTGTGGTGTGTCTTGGATGGAAGCTGGAGCATGTAGGTAAGTATAGTGGTCAGTAGGTTTCCGGTATAGGGTGGTGTTTATGTGACCATCACTTATTAGCACAGTAGTGTCAAGGAAATGGACCGCCTGTGTGGATTGGTCTAGGCTAAGGTTGATGGTGGGATGGAAATTTGTTAAAATCATGGTGGAATTCCATAGGTTAAACCAAGCCTTGCATCTCAGGACAACATGGAATAACCAAACACTGTTTGCTTTTATTGATTGATGGCAAAAGAAACTCTTTAAGCACTAAATTGCACAAGGGAAGAGCTATTAAGCATCTGTGCCCTCACACACCTGAGATTGCCTGGGGCTAGACATGTTATGACTGGGAGCTTTATGTGACAGTGGGATGAAAACTCAGGTGCTCTGGTACCAAAAGCATAGGAGACTCTCCATTCATTGTCAGCGGAGTAGGGGCTAAGACACATAGCTGAGCAGTTCTGATTCTGTCTAATGTGGGGGGGTTGTTGCACAAATGCTAACTCGTTCAGAGCAGCGCATTGTAATTGGGAGGTCAGCAGTGCTGGATAACAGCAGAGCCATTTGTAGATTTTCATCACAAGCATCAGATGCATAAAGTGCAGTACAGTGGATAACTGCCAAGTGACTCCTGGCCTCAGGTACTTGCATTCTCTAAGCAAGTTGGTGCAGCACAGAACAAGCTGTATACTGTCAGAGAGTGAATACTTCACAGGGCCCATATGGACCTTGGGGAGTCTCTTTGGAGGAGACAGAGGTTGCTTAGCAAACCCTCACTGGAGACTGCAAGCCTGTGGGTTGGTATGAAATAGTGCAAAACCCTACAAGTCTGAAGGGTTAGTTCAACAAGCTATGTTATACAGTAACTTATAACTGCCTGACCT